TCACGCTTTTGGCCACAGCAACTCCATCATGACGTGTCATTTCACCCTCTGTTGTGTCATTGGCGTTGAAAATAGCCCTGCTAAAATAAAACAGGTTGTGGATTGGGCTTGGGTGGTTTTCAGTATGCACGAACCTGAATCAGCTCCAGAGCACAGTTCCACCACTTCTTGCACTGGTCGCAGCAGAGGAAGTGATTTTGGGATGCGGGAAGCAAAGAGGGGGGAGTGAGACGGCAAGGGGGGATACTGAGCTGAAGGGAAAGGGAGTGGGATTTCTCAGGCTCGCTCAGTCAGTGCTGCCTTCATTCGCCTTGCACAGACCCCTTTCCTGCCGCAGCAGCGGCGCTCGGCCCCACCGCGCTGCAGCCGCGGCCGCCGGGGCCGGCACAGCACAGCACTGCCGCTGCCGCTGCCGCTGCCGCTGCCGCTGCCGCAGGAGCCGCGCTGCTCCGGCCCTGCCCGGCCCGACCGAGGCAATGATGTGAGACTGGAAACAGAGGGGGTCGCCTCCTCCTCCCCCTCCGGTGACAGCTGCCGTGACCTGAGCCAGACCTCCTCACCCAGGAGGGGTCTGACCTTTGGGACCATTGGTAGCATCTCCTGCAGCCAGTTAAGCTGAGACTCTCTGGAGGTTGCACTTCAGTCAATTTTAAGCTGCAAGGCTTGAGAGGAAACAGTGACTGATGTATTCAACTTTATACCTTACGGAAGGTCAGACTTAGTCCCCTGGCCTTCAACTGTGATGTAGGAGTCAGTTCAGTTTCCATTTCACTGCTAGTTGCCAAAACTAAATATCCCCATAATGTTTCTATCACAACCCTTACTGAAATTCAGGCTTTGATGCATTTGAACTTCGAAGAAATTTTGCCCTGCTTGTACTGTGGCTTATTTCACTATTAAAAATAATTTTAATTTCTTATTGATGATTCCTGGTACTGCTCCCAGCCCACAATCCTTTATACATCACTGCAATATCTAACCGTGGTTAGTTTTGCCTCATGTCTGTAAGAGAAGGGAGCCCCTTTCATCCCATAGCTTGGGAAATGGAGGCACAGACCAGCTACTTTCAAGGTCAGTTGTGCGTAGCTTGTCCCTAGTGTGGATGCCCCATCCCTGTAATTGCTCAAGGCCAGGTTGGATGGGGTTCTTTGAGCAGTCTAGTCTAGTCAAAGGTGTCCCTGACCACGGCAGGAGACTTGGAACTAGAGAATCTTTAAGGTCCCGTTCAAGCCAAACCATTTTAAAGTTCTATGATTAACTAGAGCCCTGGGTCTAGATCCTTTCTTGGCCATGGACAATCTTTGTCACCTCATGTGTGTGCCTCTGGTTTTTACTCTGGTCTTAAGTGACTACCTATGGTCTAAGGTACCAGACTCTCCAAGTTAATCTAAGTACCTAGGATCCCAGACAGTTTTGAATTGCATATGGGCACTTTGGACAAAGCATCAGGTACCTTTTTGTGTTCTAGGAAGAAGAATTGAGGTCAGAAAACAAATTTCCTCAGGGAGCAGGAGAGAGAGGACCTGAGCTCCAACATGTCTGAGAGCATGTGCTTGAAAGAATGGCTGATTAGGTACAGTGCAAACTTTATTCTTCTCTTCCTGCAAGTGTAAACTTCTTGGAATTCATATATGTTAGGCAGGAAAGACATCTTATTTAATATACCAACTCTGTGTATGTAGAAAAAACGTCAGGACCAGAATTGAATGTGTGAATCTGAGGAGAGAAATCCCACTTGTGCAGCAGAGCAGGAGCTTGATTTTGGTTATGATTTCTCCCCACTAGCTGGTCCAGATAACTACATGACATATCAAATCAAGTAATCCTGCTTTGTGTAATATGTAAATTCATTTACAGCCTTCTCTTATGACAAAGAAGATATATACTGTGTGTCCTCTGTTAATTGTATTTTTTTTTAAGTTCAATCAGCAAGCTTTTAATTAGCTGGTTACTTAACAGCCTCAGAGAAGGCTGCGCCTGCTTTCCTGCTCCCAGACCATATACCCTGCTCCTGGAAAGTGCTGAGCTCTTGTGTCTTGAGCGTGAAACAAGAAGATAAGGTGAAAAAGTGTAAGGTCAATCAAGCCCCACTTCCCCACAAACAGGCATCTTAAGTTATGAAGACAAAACCCCAGGGAAGAGAGGATGCCATGAGAGAGGGGCAACAGCTGGAGCAAACGTGGAACACATATTGGCAAATCCGTTTTGGACAAGTATTAGCACTTCATCCGTAGCACATGGCAATGTATCACTGTTCCAGCTGCTGAGGCTTTGAACCATCTTGTGGAACTTGTTCAAAACTCTGGAGGAGGATTTAGCTGCTCAAGCTCCCCAACCTGTTTCAGCAGGGGTTCGTGGGCAGTCAGCAATTATTGGCAGGACAGGGTGATGACCTAATGCCTGTGCTGGCATGAAAAAGAGAAACTGAGGTTTGATTAGGCCTCTTTTTAGGAACTATTAGAAGTGTTTACCTTTTTCCCTATAAAATACAAAGTAAAGAAAGCAAACCAACTCTCACACACACACATGCACAGGTGATTGCCTTATCCCAGGCACGTGCTTGCATAGCTGTGATACCTGAGGTGCTTTTGGGATTTCATGAACTGCAAAGACATACCTTGTACTGTGTGGCACTCTCAAAAATCCCTGTGCTAAGCAGAGGAAATGTAAAGCTAGAGAGTTGGTGGTGTTGGTAATGAACAGGCCAAGGAGGAGGGGAAGGTACAGGGGAAGAAGAAGAGGAAAGGGAAGGGGAAGAGGAAAGGGAAGGGGAAGAGGAAAGGGAAGGGGAAGAGGTTTTGGATGCTATTCAAGATAAGATGGCTGAATAGAAGCCCCATGGGAGTATACCAGGAGAGGGAAAGCAGAGCTGCTGACAGACAAGTAATGCTGTGACAGGAAGCCAGTGCTGTCTGTGAGCTTGGAGAAGGAAGTGTAAGGGTTAGTGTTAGGGTTAGGGGTGTAAGGTCTTGAACCCAATGCTTTTTCCTTGTGAAAGAGAATTTCCCTACCTTAGTGGTACAAAATTTCCTTTTTATCCACCTAGTCCACAGACTTCAGGCAGTGCCTGTTCAATTGAGTACAGAGAATTATTGATGGTTTCATCTCTTATGTGCAAAGGAAGAGTGAGTAAAGGTCAGGAGCTGGCTGGCCGGGTTGGGGTTTCACATCTCCTGTGAACCCAAATGCTTCATGGTAAAATTAAATGGGAGCTCACAGGTGGGTTGCTGCCAGAGCAGGTAGAGAGGAAGCACCAGCATCCTGCTCTGGGAGCCTGTGCCATGAGGTGGGCATCACCATTTGCTGGAGAGTCACACTGTGAGATCACATGGGGCTGGAGACCAGCACAGGCAGTGGATCCAGGATCATTCTCTGCATTCTGTCTTCTGTGCCTATCGCACCTTCTCTCATCCTTTTCCTCCCCAGCCATAAAACTCAACCATGTACTTGTGTATGCCCCAAATTTACTTACTGCCCCAACAGTACAAGCATGGGCAGCAGGTGAGATCCTTTGTGCCAGTGCCAGCACTTGCCCCACTTCTCTAGGTCTCAGTGAATCAGCTGTGACATGTCCCCCAACCATGCAGAGCAGGAGAGAGAGCAAATAAATCAGTCTCTGTTGAGCTGAGATTGCTTTGCATACTCCACCTCTTCATAGAAATATTGCAAAGAAAACATTTAATTTTAAAAAATGTCCACAATCTAAATAACAGCTGCTCTGGGCTAGTTTCATTTATGTTGTAGCTCTGTGTTTATTTAACATGTGACTTTAGGCTACAGCATTCACTACCCATGGGTATTGCCACAGCAACAGCAGTAGCACATGCCACATTTTCTGCCTTCTGAAATGTAAAGCCCTGTCTCACAGAAGCCCTGGCTTATGGGAACCTCATCCTTCTGCACGATGATTTAAAAATAACACTTACACAAGGAGCAGGCTCAGCAGCAAGACAATGCCTTTCCCTGTGTCTCCAGTTTCCTGAGAGCACAGCCAGATGTTTTTAGATCATGTTAGGGATGTCCCAGGAATTATGGAAGGGGTGGCAGCATTGGGACTGAACATAGGAGATGGAGAGAGAAATGACTAAGCAAATATCAATTGTAGGAGGTGGTTCCAGTATCAATTTATTATTGCACATTTGATCTCCTGCTGCAGATTTCTGTGTCATCATTCTGGTGCTGAGTGATTGTATCTTCACACACTAAAAAAAGATGGTAAGAGGTTATGCTGACTCAGTGTTTTTAAGGCCTGAGCAAAGTTAGAAGAAACTGAAGATGGTTACCAGCATCTGAATCATATAGTGCTGTGGTTACAGCAGGAAGGGCTCTTCTCTTGTGGGGGATGCTTCATCATTTCGGACAGATAATTTGTGACTTCATCCAACTTTCGGTCATAATGGCAGGAAATTGGTAGATCTTTTTGGAGCCTGACATTCATGAGCGTCACTAACAGAGACCTCATTTGCAGTCATCATAGAAAAAGAATCTGAGGTACCAATGCAGAATTTACTGTGCATGGCCATAGTAAAAAAATGTTTGAGAAGCACTGATGTATCCTCTCCTATTCTGTATTTTCTGCTTTGCGACCTGCTCCAAGACATTATCAGCCATGGTCCTCCCTTGACTTCCTTTGGGGGTCTCTTCCACAGGGTAGCAGGTTTAAGACACAAAAGCACAAAGAACCAGAGCAGCTTCTGTACAAATCACCAAGCAGACAAGCTCCAAACAGCTGACAGGGGTCTCCAGGCCCTGTGACATCTGGGGTGGCACAGGAGTGGTGATGCAGGAGCAGTCATTATACTAGGGAGAATCAGATTAAAATATCAAAGCAGTTTGTAGAACAATAGAGTATGCTTTTTCACACAATTTGCCTTGCACACTGTGGTGAATGAAAAATGCACTTTAAATATGGAGATAGTATCTTTGGGTCAGGAAGTCTCTGGTATTTCTGGGGAAGTGTCACTACAGGCTTTCCTGTCATTTACATCTTTCCTAGGCATCTGTCACCGGCTGCTGTCAGAGACAGGACGCATGCCTTCAATGACCAGGCAGGTTGGCTGCCCTAGGAACAGCCTGTCCCTGGCACAGGTACAACAGCCCACTTCAGAAATCACCATCACCCATAGCTCATTTGCAGTTCCCTGCTTGGGGGAAGCTTTCAGTACAGAATTTTGCCCACTGAAATTTTCATGCCATTGTAGTGTGATATTTGGGAGGTGGGAAAATCTTGCCAGATGACAGTGTGGGCTATTTCTGCATGACCGGTTCCTGAGAAGGTAGTAGCAACTAGCCTGACCTCTCATGTGTGAATTGAGTGATGTTTTGCTAATGTGTCAATTTTCATATGTTCTCGTAGCTCTGGAGTCTTCAGACAATGTAAGAGAAAGGCCCTCTTTGTTTTGTCAAGGGCTGCATAAGAGTCTCCAGGACACTGACTGGAGATTTGCTAGATTTTCTTCCTTTTACAAGAAGAAAAAGTGCAACCATAATGACTTGGTCACTTTGGAAACTCTGTGACCTATGGTAAAAACCCAAACTTTCCTGCACCATCATGGGTTTGGATTCAGAGGCGACAGTCTGGTGCACGCAAACACAGATTTGGCATCACTACCACAACCCTTCTGAAGTGATAATTTCTCCTGGACTTCTCTGACATCTCTGTTCTTCACAGGCTCTCAAGATTGAATTGACACCCCTACCCTCCCTCACCAATCCCCTGCATTTTGGGACTCCAAAAATATGGCCTTCTGTAGACAAAACAAGCTGTTCCATTGACAACAGAATCTCCTGGCATTGCATGAGGAGTAGCATTAGGGGAAGAGCCAGCACTGATGAACCACCACTACTTTTAGACCAGCAAGTGCACAAGATCCTGCCATTCACAAAACCACAGTGGTGTCAGTAGAGCAATGGATGTTTCAGATATGGTAACCCATGAACCAAGGCAAAATTCTGCTGCAAATAACACCTGCTGCAAATACCAGCCTTAACTGGTAGCCAAGCTGCATCCGAGGTAATTTTTAAAGTGAGAGAGCTTTTTATTATTATTATTATATTATTATTTGACAAGACAAAATATACTGTACCAGTGAAAATCCTACTCGAAATATCAAAGCATCTACAAACATGAACCTAAAAGATAAAACGTGATCCTCTTTTTCTAGTATACCTGGCCATCAACCTGACCAGCATCAATTTATTGCCATTCAGCATTCCCAGATACCTGAGTTGTTTGTGACTGCCTGTGGATGACTTATTTACTATTGAACAGCAACTGAGCCAGAGAAACTCTGTTGAGTATGAAGTGTTCCTTTCTCCTGTTTCTTGTATTTGGCTGGGCAGGCTGCTCCTGGTCAAAGTTGCAGCACCACAATGTAATAAGGATATGGACCTCTTAAAGCAGGTCCAGAGGAGGCTGTAAAAATGCTCAGAGGGCTGGAGCACCTCTCCTCTGAAGACAGGCTGAGAGAGTTGGAATGGTTCCACTTGGAGAAGAGAAGGCTTCAGGGGAGGACTTCTATCACCTTCCAGGACCTAAAGGGGCTACAAGGAGGATGGGGAGGGACTTTTCACAAGAGGCCTATAGTAAAGCATAGGACAAGAGGGAAATGGAGCTACATGAACTTTAGGGTCCCTTCCAACCCAAACCATTCTACAATTCTGTGATTTATGTGCTCTTTGAATTGCACTGTGCCAGCCCTTCTTCACATCAAGCACGTCAGCATGTCCAGCTCACATGAGTCTGTCACAGCTGCAAACCCAGGGTGTCCACGGGTTCCCTGATGGGGAAATCAGGCTGCTGGCTGCAAAGGTGCCATTGCTAGAAGGGTGCCAGCCTGGTTTCAGTGTCCTGGTTTTATTTGCTCACCCAGAGGTTCCACCCTGCTCTCCACCCATGGTTAGCACGGTGTTAATTACTGGCCATCCCAGTGGGGATTGCGTTAGGCTGAACGATTTACAGATTAGAGCAGTGTGGGTCACTCTGCCAGGGCAGGTGAGCCGTGGTTAGTAGGACGCTGTGACACAGTGCCGCAAGCAGTCTCCGCAGGATCTGGCACGGCTGTGGGCAGTGAGCTGTGCCAGGGATGGGGGGCACAGCCCAGAGCCTGGCTGAGCGCCGGTGCGTGTGTGCCCCTCGCACGGGCTGCCGCAAACAGCTCCCGGGATGTGCTTGCCAAAACAAGCCTCAAGGGCATGGCTTTCGTAGCAGCTTTTAAACGAAACTGATCTCTGCTTGCCAAGACAGCCCAAGTACGTAACAGCGGTGTTTTTGTGCTAAAGCCTGGGACAGGGGTTCACGTCATGCAGGCGCTGTACCAGCCCTGCCACTGCTTTCTGTGAGACCTTGGGCAGACCCCATCTCCTCTCCATGCATCAGTCTCCACACGGGTCTAGCTGTGAGGGGGTCTGGAGGCTGGGGAGGCTATGGTATTGCCCAAGGAAAAGGTGCCTCATTAATATTCAGAGGGGCAGTTAGTGAGTAGTCCTTAGCTGCTTCTTATTTTTTCTCCTTCAAAGTACTGGATCTGGCTGTAGTCTTTGCAGCTGGGTGCAGCAGTGCCCGTCAGTATGAGCTGGGCATCCCTTTCTCAGGACTTGCTAGCCCACAGTGCTTCCTTACCCTGACGGGGATTGCTGAGAGAGTGACACTGGCTGCACAGCCCAGCCCAGGGCAGCTGCAAAGCTCTTTCTGTTCTTTTGAAAGCTAACGGAAAAAATGATGATAAACTAAATCTAGATCTATGCAGCAATTATATGGGGTTCCAGACCTTGCACCTGTAGCATAATACACAGCAGAGCCAGATAACTACCTCGCCTAATGATTGCTCTGGACAGAATACAAATCACATTATGCAGGGCGAGCTGAAAGCCATTTTTCAGTCAAAGCTGATGAGCTTGCAAAGACTTTTCTTGCCCAGTTTTCTCTGACTGCAAGTTTGTCCTTTTCTTGTTGGAATCCTTCCTGTTATTTTTCTATCTTCCTGTTGCAGGATGCAACATTCATTACAATAATAGATCAAACTTTGAGTGGAAAAACTCTGCTTTATAGATGTCTTCAAGATTTCCCAGTTTTGTTCCTGTTTACAAATCTGCAGCCCTGACCTCCCAGCTCACCCTGTCAGGTACAACATGGTAATAACATGGCAAAACCAAATGCAGTGGGCTGTGTACATACCCATAATTATCAGGCAGGTGTTCTCACAGGATGCTTTGATGGGCAAATGATGGAACAAGAAGACTGCATCCCATCCCTTACTGCAGTCATGGTTAATGTATGTTTAGAGGACTGATTCCAAAAACATCTGAAAATCAAAATCCTGTTATTTAAAAGCAGACCTGGAGTCTTCAGTACTTAAATCACAACTAAAAGACAACTGTGGGCATCTAGTAATGAGTTCTTCTTGGCTACTGTTAATCACCCAAACATGAGGCTTAAACTAGTTGTATAAATCCTCCTGTAGTTAAAGCAGAGAAGCACCTGTAAAAAGTCTGTTTCATTATCCTCTTAGCTGCCATCTTAAAAAGGAGTAAGTGATTCTCCGGAGATACCTTTGTTTAGGAGCTTACACAACAGGGAAAGATGAAACTCCTAAGTGCCAGCCATGGGCAAAAGGGAAATCCCACTCTAATGGCACAGCTCCTCTAGGAAATCAACCCAAGCTTAAAATTACTGTATCAATTTCTTAATCTTAAAAAGTCCAGTGCTTTAGAAGTCCCGAGTAGATATCCTGCTCTGGCTCTCTGCACCTAAATATTTTCAAAATCTGGTCAGAGGTGGTCCCAGCAAGTGCTCCAGATGCCCTAGTGAGATATACAGGAGGAAGCTGGGAGGCAGAACAGCAGCACTGGTAGAAGCATGTTTGGAGAGGTTTTTATTGACTGGATTTCTGTGGGGATTTTGCTTGTTTGTTTCCTGTTACTCTTATGTTATCAGCATGGAAATACTGAATTGTGTGACCAATGTAGCCAGTAAGACTAGCCACAACTATTATATAACGTCTGGTTGTAGCAAACATCTCAATAATTATTTCTTTGATTGCAGTGCAAACATATCCTGTGTACAATATGTGGGTTACTGGGTAGAGCTATATCATGACTCAGGATGAGCCAATATTATAAGCAACTCCTAATGAAGGGTGGAATTTTCAGTAGTTTCTCTATATTGACCTGTTTCTGTTCCTACTGAAGGTAGTGGCTGAGGAGGGAGGCCCTCAGGAAGGGAAATCTCAGATGATTTATGGGGGTTTGGCTCATGTCAGAAGGTGGTGGGCAAGTATGAGAGGGGTTTTATCACAGCAGAGGCTTTGCAGCATCTCAAGGACAGGAGTCTGGTACAAAGGGTTGGCTCTCATGCTCCTGCCCTTCTGCATCTCACATTTCACCAGCCCAGGGTGTGCAGGGTTATGGGTCAGAGTAAAACAAGTCCCTCATGGGTGGTTAGGGATCAGCACAGCGTCTCTGGCTCAGGAAACCCTTGGGCAGGAAGGGAAGAGCATGCTGGGGAAGCTTTGCCGCCTGTTCCACCTCACACTTTCCCTTGGGCAACTGCTATGGGCAACTGCTGGAGACAGGATTCTGGGTTAGAAGGGTCTGTGGTCTCTCTCAGGATGGTTGTTTTCATGCTGTATTCTGTTAAGATAGTTTGAGCCTTTTTCTGTATTAAAAATAAAAGCCTCCAATTCTCATGTTTCCTTATGGAAAAAAAAAAAAAGTTATTTTGGTATCCTGCTTATATAACTGTAATAACTTTTGTTATCCCTACCACCAAAAGAAAAGCAAAATATTTTTGTGTTTTATAAGATATTAATGAAAGAGGTTTCCTCTGAAAAAAGGATATTTGGAGCATTGCTAAAATCTCTGCTTAGGAGAAGTTTGGTCCCTTCCTTTGGAGACAAATGATCTTATACAGTCTTTCTGAGCCACTACAAACCCACATCCCTCTGATTTTAGTAACAACTTTTAAAGAGTTATCCTCTCACTGTACCTATTTTGTGACATGAAAATAGCTCCCAACTCTTGAAGGAGGAGAATTAAGAGGCTTTATGACATTTTAAAGGGAGGGACATTAAATTGTGTTCTACCTTTTATTTGGAAAGGGAAAGCAGTACAGCAGCTTCCAGGAACCACAGCTCAGCCCCATTATGGAGGAGATGGCATGAGACAATTTGACCCATCTAGGGAAAGGTGACAGAAATGGAGCAGTAAAAAGTGGGTTACTGACAGGTAGATAAAAGTTATACAAAGTCACAAACGCATTCAGGAACAAAGCACTGGTCATCTGACAGCCTGTCCACCCTCTCTGCAAATATTATTTGTCAGGTGAAAGAATATTCTCATGAATCACCGCCTTGTAAGAAATTTTAGAAAGCTCATAGCAGTGATGGAGGGAATGACTGGATATTGAACTTGCCTACTCAGTCCTGGGAAAGCCACGTTCAGGAGAGGAAATTGGTACCTGAGCCCCTGAAATGCTGTGCAAAGAGAGTTTGAAAATGGACAGTACACTGGTTTTGAGTTGGGGTTTTTTTCAAGTCTAAGATTTTTTTTCAAGAGTTCCTCTACAACTAAGAAGCAGAAGTGGTTTGGATTTTCCTATTTTGAAGCCTTCCTCTCTGCAGTCTAATTTAGGATGTTATTAAGGAATGTTTTTTTTAAGCGAGTACATCAAAAAGAACCCAACAAGTGATCCCAGACAGAGCCACAGATAAAACAGGACCTTTCCATCTGTACAGTTTCACTGCTGAACATATTTATTTCTGGTAGTTAACTGCCTGGTTTGCCAGTGTGGGTCACATGCTGCTGTTGTGAACAGGAGCTGTCGAGGGCCTGTGGGACACATCTTTTTCCATCTGCTTCAGTCTGTGAGCTGAGGAGCTTGGTTCACTCTGCTCTGCTGCACAGAGGTTTTCTCTGCGTCCATGCTGTGCTGGGGCTGGGGGAAAGCCACTGGCTGCTCAATCAGTGCAGCTGCAAAACATCCCCCTGAGGTGTCCATGTCCTCTATCAGCAACCTCTTAGGTGGGAAGGATGGCTCTGTGCTCAGCTCAAGGCTGGAGGAGGTGGTGAGAGGGCAGATTGCCTGGCTGAGCATGTTCTGCCAGAGGTAGATGGTAGCCAGGGTTTACAGAAGGGCTAACTAGTGCTTTGTATTCTGAACCCCTGGCAATGCTGGAGTGCATAGCCCCAGCCTGGGGGGGAGGTTGGATCCATTTTACATAGGCATTACAAATTACCATTAGCTTTATCACCCCAAAATTCTTCACCATGGTATGCAAAGTTGACTTGGCAGTAGTCAGAGTATTTTCCACATTCAATATGTAATTACTACGCCTTCCCTTTGGATTCTCCACTGCTGCATATATGATTCCCGTTGAGCATCTTAGGTTATAAATGCCTTGAGACAAATGATCTTTTGGATCTGTGTTTATCCAGGATCTGGCTTCCTGCCAGTCTGGTCAGAGGCTGGAGTCCCTTAGTACCTCCACATCACAGAGAAAGATTAATCATAACAATCCTCAGCTTCTTGCATGACTGGGTGATGAGTCCTCCCACACTCCTGCAGTACCAGTGCATACAGGAGATCCATTGGCAGGGTGTGACTTTACAGT